AAAGGCGTTGAGAGAGAAAAAGAGGAGGAAGAAGAAGAAGAGAAGCGGCTCACCCTCGGTGGTGCGCGCGCGTAACCCCTGCGGGTCACAGGCAGAACGGCGTTTTACCGACTATTAACTCACTTTTACCCCTGTTTCGTTACCCTCGCGGCCTCGGCCCGGACGCCCAAGGGTAGCGCGAAGGGTTTGCAGACGCCGTCGAGATAAAAACGATACGGAAAGGTGCGGCGCAAGGAGAGTCCCTTCCTCGCGTGTGTATTTCTCCCGCGAGACTCCGCGTGCGTAATCTCCCGACCTTTCCCTTTTTCTTCCGTCTCACCCCTTGTTTTCACCCCTGCGATGCCGCTCTGCCGGTTTTTCGGTCTTTCCGAAGGATGGACTCTCTCGCGCAGGTAGCCGACACGTACCTGCGCGCGACTCTTCGAGGAGGGGCGGCGGAAAAAAGCGCGAGACTCTCTCACCGAGGGCCACGCTCGATTTAACCCCTGAGAAAAATCACGCGCGCGCAAGCACCCCTCGTTCCGACCAAAAGCCGTCGCAGTCGATCCTCGGGGGTTAACCGATTTCCCTGCGAAATTTGAAATCGGAGAATGGTGTTCTCTCCGATTTGACCTGAGCGGTGCGCCCGTTTAAAGGTTTAAGTATCTCGTAAAAATGGGCTCGAGGATACGTCGAGGAGGCGCCCTTCCTCCGCTTTTTTCCCCCGTTACGCGCGCGACTTCCGAGGTTAGAGGGTCGGATGTCAGTCGCCGTCTCTAATTTGAGCACCGAGCGTATCAGAGTGATGTCGATTATTTTATTATCCGGAGCGCGAGGATTTTTCAACGAGTGTGTATCACTTGTTCCACTCTGTTAATGGTAAGCGCAGAATTCTGGGAAATTATCGTCTGATGTATTTAATTCTCCCTGAATCCAGAATAAGAAACGTCTTACAATTAAAAGTTATGGGGATAATTTGCATCTTCTCTTTCAGATAAGTTTCCTTGACGGAGATATTTCTCAATAATAATAATAATCGGACTTTACTTGGTGAATAATCGTGCCAATTTCCTCCAAGCAACGGATGCGTCCTCGTTTACGTATCAAAGTATGCTATATTTCGTCCGGCGCTTTATAAATGAGGAATCTCGACTGGATGACTCATCGCAATGCGTTTTTCTGCCGCGATTGTGTATCGATGGAATATGACTCGCCGCTATGCGGGGCGATTTGGAGCAAAGACGAAAGGGAGAACGTCTCCAAAGGAAGAGAAACACAGGATCCCCGCGGCGCGGTACCTTCTCCGGACCGGGCCTTAAAAATCGAGTCGATTTAAGGACCCGGCCGCGAGCGAGATACAGCAAGACGCGTGTACGCATGCGATTCTTCAGGAATCTCCCTCGCCAGGATGAGAATTCATTTAACAACACTGGGACGAGGGTGCCGAGAATGGGCTCTTTTTGCGCTGTTTATACCGCTTGCCTCTTCTCCGCGCGTGTTTTGCGTTTTATTAATTACGTGATTCTGTATTATACCAACCTCTTCTCATTCGACCGCGATGCTCCAAGGACGCGCGATGGAGACTGCGTTCGGGTAACACGACAGCCGTAGGCATATCCGCGCGAGAGAAACATTTTCCCACAGTGCGCATCATTTTTCCGTCTCCTTCGGAGGAGTCCGCGCGTTACGACAGGACAGTCATTTTTCATCGAGCGATGAAACCGCCGTAAGCCATTCACGCACGATGGCGAACGAACGCCATCCATCGCGATACAGGACGCTCCGTTCGCGTAACGAAAAAAAAAAAGAAAAGAGGAATGCAGTGGAAAGCGCGTGAATGAGCGAATGGAGAGCCTAACCGCGAGAAACGAGGAAGGATAAATCGGGAAAAAGAGGGGTTTCGTAATTTTACCAGACGCCATCGATCTAACCTCCGGCGACGTACCCCTCCGGGGGGATTCTGATGCTCTCTCTCTCTCTCTCTCTCTCTCTCTCTCTCTCTCTCTCTCTCTCTCTCTCTG